ATCTGTTCATGGAGGATGTCAAATGACCTAAATGTAGAGCAGAAATATCTTCAGCTTTGGTTCACAGATGATGCAGTCTCCTCAGAGAGTGTAAGTTTAACCAATTCAGACTGATGTCCAGAACCTCTGGTTGGGAAGGGGCATATATTACATGTAATAAATGCTTTCTTGGCTTTGTCCTTCTCTCCAGTGATTTCTTCCATAGTGAAACTGTTGCATTCTTAAATAATTTGAAGGAACTGCCTTGGTGTTGATAGCTTTGGCTTCTTTTTTGTGTGTGTGATGGTGACAATTCTGAAGAGCTGGAACAGAAATAACGCTTGCTTTATGGGCAGGAGGTAGGATTGGCTGTGGTGCAGTCGTTCCATGGTTATGTCAGGAAAAGCTTTTTTATGTAATATTTTGCTTTAAATACATGAAATATGGAGTATTTTTTTCTGACTAGAGAATACGAATAAGGCCCACACAGGCTTGCACAGTTACAACAACTGTATATGCAAATTAGATGCACATTTGCACAGCTGCACTTGTGCTAACAAGCACCTAAAAGCCGGTCAGTCCATCCAATTTATGTTGCGTTGTCTCTGTCAGCCTAGCTTTCATCACCAGTTATGGCTAACATCTGTGCCAGTACGCATGTGCGTCTAACACGCTTATTTCATATGCACGCATCTGACTTAAAAAATGTCTTTTACATTTTTGGAAGCATACATCAGCTTCCTTTTGTAATAGCTATCCTAAGTTATACAACAAGCTGTCTCAATGCTTCATTTGCAAATTATGAGAAAAACTTAGAAACACATGGAGCAATGTAGACTAAATTATATTAAAAACACAAGTCTCTTTCCTCTTGAACCACAGTTGTATTGTCCCTGATCACAGCCAGGAGGTGAGCAAGCAGAGAAAATAAATCCATGTAGAAAAAGGTTTTATCATTGATTGTGAAGTACAGAAAATGAGGTTTTTTGGGTTTTGGTTTTTTTTTTCTTTACATGAAAGATTATTTTGCAAGTGAACATTAATTTCTGTGACAAATAAAAATGCTTTTGTCATTCAGGGGTAGTTACAAATTTTCCCTTGCTCTCTGCCCTCTTACCACCGCCTTGGTCTAAGGCTCCTACTGTCATGTCCCTAGGGCAGTATCATGCTGCTCTCTCATTTGTATACTTGCTGCAACTTTCTGTGCACCACTCATGCTTTTACCCACAAATCTTACGGCACTCTAGCACTTAGTTCCCTTCCCTGGAAAATTGCGACCACCATAGAGCGCAGTGACCCAAAATACACTATTTTTAATTTGAACTGTAGGAACATAGCATAGCAAGGGGAAAAGTTTAAAACAACAGAAATTGTAGGTACACATCTGTCTTGCCGTAACTTGCTCTATCCTCCAGAGAGGGACTCTGATGGGTTCATTTTTCTCAGTGTCATGGTTTAACCTCAGTTGGCAACTGAGCACCACGCAGCCGCTCGCTCACTCCCCCCGCAGTGGGATGGGGGAGAGAATTGGAAGGGTAAAAGTGAGAAAACTCGTGGGTTGAGATAAAGACAGTTTAATAGGTAAAACAAAAGCCGCGCACGCAAGCAAAGCAAAACAAGGAATTCATTCACTACTTCCCATCGGCAGGCAGCTGTTCAGCCATCTCCAGGAAAGCAGGGCTCCATCACGCGTGACGGTTACTTGGGAAGACAAACGCCATCACTCCAAACGTCCCCCCTTTCCTTCTTCTTCCCCCAGCTTTATATACTGAGCATGACGTCCCATGGTATGGAATATCCCGTTGGCCAGTTTGGGTCAGCTGTCCTGGCTGTGCCCCCTCCCAGCTTCTTGTGCACCTCCAGCCTTCTCAGTTGGTAGAGCACGAGAAACTGAAAAGTCCTTGACTAGTATAAGCACTACCTAGCAACAACTAAAACATCGGTGCGTTATCAATTTTGTTCCCATCCTAAATCCAAAACACAGCACTGTACCAGCTACTAGGAAGGAAATTAACTCTATCCCTGCCGAAACCAGGACACTCAGGCATCCAAGTCTCTAGTTTACCTTATTTCAAAACGCTGGTTCTCGTGATCTTTCCAGACTGCGACCCCCCCGAATGCCTTTCAGTCTTTGTACTCTCCTCTCTGCCCAGCCTTTTCTTCCCTGGGAAAAAAAAAAAAAAAGGCAAGCTCAGCAAGGTGGCATAGATAACTTGCCATTGTTATTGGTCCTGAATGTCTACTGTTGGTTTCTTAGGTGGGTTGCTGTTGCTCTCCTTGGGTTTATCTCCTGAGCACCTAGTAACTGAATCAACACGTTACAAAAGACAAGAGAGAAAGTCTACACTACTTGGACAACTAAACAGAGCATACAGTATTAAGAGAGTAGTATAGGTAATTCCAAATCATCACAGTATGTATCAAAAAACGATATAAATTATATATAAGGAGTATAAGTGTATACATTCTAAAGTGACTTAAGACTATTAATGCTCTGTAAGCTTTTGTATTAAAGCTCTATATGCAAATAATGTATAAATTATTGAAATATTAGAGTGTATTAACAGTTAATTAAGCATAATCGACTTCAAGAGGTTAATGGATTATTACATTTATATGTATAGCCTTGTAGAAGACCTTGATATAGTTACAACTCCTTGTAACAGATACCAAGTTTACAGTATGGCCTAAAACAGCTCTTAATCATTTTGTAGCCCCGAATTTACTTATAAAGAGACCTAACAATGCAGACATCCACAACTTGATTGGCGAAGACCAGTGTGGCAGGAAACAAGTTTCTATTGTCAACATTTCTTTATTCTTCTTTAGATAATAAACAACTTTGCATTGGCAAATGTGCAATATAAAATAGTCTTGCACAATCTTCAAACTACCCAACTCTCATGTACGTGAGAGGTCCAGTGCTATGGATTTTCAGGTGTTTTGACTGCTTCCTTCAGAAGAAAAACATTGTTTCTACTACCAGTATCACGAAGTGCAAAATTAGCACTGAGTAATCTGAGAAGCCGATGTCCAGGTTCTGTCTAATCCTTTCCATCAGATCACATTCATGTGGAAGAAGCAGTGATCCCTCAGACCTGCTCGTCTCGTCCCCTTGCCGTTCACTGACTGGTTTTGTGTGGTGGTTTCTTCCACACAGGCCAGATGAATTAGTGTTTTGCGGTAGAGCATAGATTTCCTTTGCCAAGAACATTTATGTGCATCTGTGAGAATGTGCTTTTACACTTCTGTGCAGCTTTTCTCTGTTTACGTATCAGAGCTCTTGGGCATAATGAATAGCTCAACACAAAACAACGAAGGAGTCAGTCTGAGATGATAACCTGGCTGTCCCCATATGCGAATGTTATTTGGCATTAGATGTGGGGAAGGAAGAACAGGGTGTGTCTGGTCCTATGACATCTCTTAAAACTATGCTCATTATCATAGTATCTCAGAGGGAAGCTGTGCATTTAAGGGATGTAAGTAACATTTGCTATAAGCCGTTTATTTTCTCATGCTGGCTTTGTTTCACGTGCCATGGGATGTCTCTCTTGGGCAGTGTACTTTTTCATCTGGGAGAGGAGAGGGTTGTTTGAATATTATTATTACTGTATATAAATATATTCTGGAGGATGCACACTGATGGAAATCTCCTTGCACTTGAAGCAGAAGGTGGTGAGATTTATAATGACTTGTAAGTTCTCTGGGGAGTTCATTCTGCAGACTCGGACTGGCACCCATGACAGTTCTGCGATGTGCACAGACAAGCTTTGCCTGTGCTGTACAGTCTTACGCTCTCAAAGAGCCAAGTTGTTGACCACAGAACTCAAACAGACTTTTTGAGCGCTGTTGTTTTCAGGACAAAATAAAACTGTTCCAGGTGGAGGAGATACTACCTGTGAAAACAAAATGACAATGCTGGGCAGCAAGTGAGGCTGTGTTCTGCACTGTCTAGAGGCAGTCTGGATTTATCCAACTATTTGCTGTCTGGGACAGTTCTACAGAGCATGAGGTTTCTGGCTCTGTAACCATCTGCAATTCTTGGATTTTGTATCTGCTTAGGGCTTTTTTTCCTTTCTCTGTTTTGGTGGTTTTCTTTCCCGTCCTTACTCTGCCTGATTCTCAGAACACCAGGCAATCTTCACAGAAACAGATGCTAAATAGTCTGTAGCAACAGTAAAGGAGCACCTGGATTGCTGTATTTTAACGTTTCTATTTTCAAATAAATTGTCTTGTATGTATTTTAGTAAATGGTAATGGAAACAGAGGTGGCACAATAAATCAAATAAAAAAATCAAACTCTGCATCAGCATTTCAGAGACAGAATCTGACACCTAAAATGAAGAGTTGCTTTGGTCTGCTTTAACCTGTGTAGTCTAGCTATTGGGGAGAGGCAGAAAATGAGAATGTAACTATTTCTCCTGTGTATTTCCCCTTGCCCTTTGAGGTTCACGGCCAAGGAGACTTTGAACAGCTCTCATCCTTAAGCCTGTGGTTTGAAGACGCAGTTTGCAGACCAGTGTGTGCTATTTTAGAAGGGGTTTTCATTCTGTGATTTCTGCAGGTTGGCTGACGGTGCCAGCAATATGGCCCCACCTGCTCCAGTTTGCTTCCTTTGGGGTGGCTTCTGTCAGCAGCCGCGATGGTCTGGGGTAGCCTTTGTTCGCCATAGCGAGCCCTGGAGAGGGGTGCATTGGCAGCGGGATACACAGCATCCCTCTGCTCTTGCTTCCCGTGCAGGCCAGAAGAACCTGACCCATAACTTCTTGTACCGTTATTGACTCAAATCTATCCCTGGTGTTATCCCTATTATGACTTAATAGTCTGTGTTTGGCTCATTAACATTTTAATGGCATTCTTCTTGAAGAGAGAATGCTTTGTGGAAATTGCAGATTTATGGTGTTTCTAGGAAGATAAGTTTATTTCCAGCTAATATGAACCACAGCTCACTGGGACTAATGTAATGCAGCCTGTGTTACAAGTGTGATTAGTTTTATATCCTATTTTCTTTCCCCCCTCAGAGGATTATGCCCAGCTGTGCAACATTCCTGTTCCAGGGTCTCGACGGCCATATGGACAAGATGCTTTGGTTGACTTCGAGGAGCACTACACTCCAGAAACTAATCCATACTTTGTTGAAGACCGTAAGCAAGTTTCTGTTATGTAAAATACTTGAAATGAGGGTTGTAACTTGGATTATTTCCCTGTAGCTGGCTTCATTCTTCTGTTTGCTTCTGAGTAATGTGGCCTATTTATGTTCTAGTTATTCCTATGACACTAGCTTTCAGTCAGGTGTTCTGGTTCAAGAGCCAGTGTTGTATAAGAGTCCAGTTGGGCTCAGAGTAAAATATTAATTTTTAATATAGTGAAATAGTTTGTGCCGAGTGTACTAGATTTGTATTTACCAACAGATGTACAGCTAAAGGTCAAAAGGATTGCCATTTTTCCTCTCACAAATTAATTTTCCTGTGGAGCATGGGACAGATTTCTTTGGAGTGCATTTAGTTTAAAAGAAAAAAAAAATCCCTTCACGCCAGCTTTCCCTGATTTTCCAGCAGGATCTATATGGGGGAAATGGAGAGCATGCAAGTCGTTCTTGCTCAACGGAGAAAATGTACAGCACAGTATGATCAGAGAGTATGCATGCATATAGCCTTCAGGCTAGATGGAAAGGCCTGCCAAGCAGGGTGTGAGGGACTGTATACAGCATCTCAGTTGTACTTCAGGAATATCAGGGTTCTTTACGGGCCTGGCCCAGCTCACTATTAAGCCTTGTGGGAGAGGAGTGCTTACAGCTCTCAGCATCTTCCTCAAAATCAGCCACCCTGTACAGGTCCAGCATATTTCATCACAGTTTTAGAGAAGAAAAGTGGAGGTATCAGAAGGAACTGGTAACTTGCTGTGCTTTACACCCATGGCCTACAAGTTGCCACTACACT